CGTGTCCCGGACCTTTCCGCTGTGCGGGTTCTCGCTTCTGCCTCCCGCCTGCGCGTGCAATGCCCCTTCTCATGCCTGCCCGTGGCACGGGCACGGCTCCCTGTTGCACGCGCATGTGTGACTCCGGCCCACGTGTGCGGCTCCCTTGCACGCGCAGCCCCCGCTCGCACGCCCGCTTCTTCCTTGCAGGCATCCATGCAGGTTCTCTCTCGCACGGGCATGTAATGCGCACACGCGTGCTGGCACAGCTCCCCCTTGCACGCCCGCAGCTCCCATCCTCGTGCGTGCAAACACACGCGTGTGCCCGCCGACCACCGAGTGCCTGCTGCAGGTGGGGGCCCTCCCCGACACCCCGGCCCCCGCCGGAGCCCAGGTTTTATTGCTCCCAGCATCCGCAGGAGGCAAAGTCCAGGGTGGAGGGAGGCACGGGGTGTGGGGGGGTGACTCACAGCCCCGGCCCCCCCGCCAGTGCCACCCTTTCCGTCACACCGGGCGATGTGCCGTGCCTGGCCCTGCCCGGCCGTGCCGTGCTTTGCCGTTCCCTGCTGGGAATTTCTGTCCCTGGCACCCGACCCAGCGGGACCCGGCTGGTGTGGGCAGCCCCTGGCCCACGGTCTTTTCCCGGTGACCCCCAGCATGCTGGTGGGGACGGGCTGCAATACCCCGCTTTGGTCGGGGACATGCCAACCCGGTGCTGTTCCCAGGGATCCAGACTGTGCTGTGTGTGGACCCCACGCTGACCACCCCGTATTACCCACAGCGATTCTTGCCCACCTCCCCTGGGACGGGGACGCCCATGACCCCACTCTGGGAGGTGGGAGGTAAGAGGATGCTCGGACACGAGGGATTTGGGACATGGAGCGTTTCTGGGTGGTGGCCGAGCTCAGGGAGCCCTGTGCGGGGGTTCCCCCTCCTGCTGGCTCCCCCAGCCCTGCCATGGGTGCACCAGCCACCCAGGCAGGGGTGTTAGTAGTCCTAGCAGTAATTAGCTGCCTTAATGAGCAGAAAAAGCAGCTTTCTGCCCTTGCTGGAGGAGCAGATGGCACCCGGCGCTGGGTGGTGCTTTGCCCACCATCCGGCCGTGTTGCCCCACTAGCAAGGGGGGGCCTAGCGGCTGGAGGGGACACAGAGGTTAGCTGGTGCCACTCTGGGGAGGAAAAAGAGACCATGTCCCCCACATCCCAACTTAGAGGTCCCCAAGACCCCCTCCCCTCTGCCGGTGCCCTCCTCTACCATACCAAGGCTTCGGCAGGGGTGACCGGGTGCTTCTGGTTTAGGGGTGCAAGGAGGGACAGGGGGGATCATGTGTGCTGTTCCCTGCCATTCCCCCCAGCCCTATGGCTGGCTCATCTGCTGTCCTGCTGCCGGGCCCCCACCCGGCTCCCTTCGTGCGTACCAGCCAGTCCAGGAGGGCACTGCAGCCCCCAGACCAGCTGGGGTAAGTCTGAACTGATGGCTTGAACACCAAATTGCCACCCAGGCCTGATGGACGGAAAAGATGGAGGAGAGACAGCGGCGATTCACATGCCGGGAGGCTGGAAGGGAAATGCACACAGTAATGAACAATCTCAGAAGGATGCCAGCATTAGGGCAGGGTGGAGGGGGGGGAACTGGAGCACAATAAAACAATTAGAAAGGTGGTAATTACCAGTCTAATGAGATATCAGGTTGAATCTTAAAAGCATCAAGATTCTTCACAGCAAGATGTAGCTGCTGCAGTATTCATCCTCTGGGGCATTCTCTCGGACAAAACATTTCCTTTCCCGCAAGACCAACAGAAATTTGACAGAAGAGGCTCTGTGATGCAGCCTGTGTCTCTGAAATTGCCCAGTGCTCTCTTACCACCTGACCTGTGATCTTGCAGAAACGCCCAAAAGACCAGCGTTATTTGGAGGCAAGACGGGTTGCTCGGGTCTTCTGAGGACGCGGAGACCCCAGTTCTCCTCATCTGAGAAGATCGTGGCAAGGAGAGCCAGAGGGAGGGAGTGTGCCGTGCTCGGACGCGTGGGCAGGTCGGCCCCGGGCTGCTGCCTGGAAAGGTAGGGGGTCGGGATCGGAGCCCAGCCTGGGGAGCTGCTCGCGTCTCCCCGGGGCTCCCCACAGCCCCTCTCACTGCTCCCATGTGCATCCTCCCTCGGGTCGCCTGCGCCCCCCCCCCAGCCCATCACTGGTGAGGCAGCCACCTCCCCAGCCCTCCCGTCACCCCCCTGTCCCCAGCCCTGGTGTGCCACACCAGCAGGACCCCTCTCCCTGACACATCCTTCGGGGTCCCACTCACTCCCCGTCCACTCTGACCGCAGCTGGGGACCACGTCCCACCTCCCGTCATGGAGCTGAACCAGACATCCCCACCTCCCACATCACCTGTGCCGGAGACCGATGGAGAAGACCTGTGCAGGATAGATGTCACCGATGTGGCCGTAGACATGGTCACGCTGCTCATCTGCCTCTGCGGGCTGGTGGGGAACGGGGCCGTCCTCTGGTTCCTCGGCTTCCGCATCCGCAGGAATCCCATCACCGTCTACATCCTCAACCTGGCCGTCGCCGACTTCACCTTCCTCCTCTTCATGGTCACCTCATCCCTCCTCTACATGATGGAGAATGTCTTCTGCTCCGCTGTTGTGTCCTTGATGTACCTGAGGTCGCTTTTCCTGCTCTCGCTCTTCTCCTACAACATGGGCCTGTACCTCCTGACGGCCATCAGCATCGAGAGGTGCGTGTCCATCCTCTGCCCGCTCTGGTACCGCTGCCGCCGCCCCCAGCGCTTGTCGACCGTGGCGTGTGCCCTGCTCTGGGCCCTCTCCATCGCTGTCATTGCTGCAGTGACTTCTCTCTGCCTGTTGCACGAGCATGAGCACTGCCGGCTGGCTCTCATCTCCATGTACGTCCTCAACTTCCTTATTTTTGCCCCACCCATGGTCATTTCCAACGTGATCCTCTTCATTAAGGTCCTGTGTGGCTCCAAGCGACGTCAGCCCCGGAGGCTCTACATCGTTATCTTCCTCACCGTCCTCTTCTTTCTCATCTTTGGGGTTCCCCTCAGCGTCTGGAATTTCCTGCAGCAGTTCAGCTACACCATTGTGCTCTCCCAGGTTGTGTTCCTGCTCGCCTGCATCAACAGCAGCATCAACCCCTTCATCTACTTCTTGGTGGGGAGCTGCCGGAGGCACTGCTCCTTGGTGTCCCTCCAGGATGCCTTCCGGAAGGTCTTTGAAGAAACGGGGGTCACCACGATCTCCAGCTAAGAGGCCACTGTGTTCACACCAGCTTTGCTACCCACCCTGGCTTCATGCTCAGCTGCCTGCCCTTGCTCCCAGCCGGGCCTGCGAGATCACTTTCCTACAGCTGTGTGTCGAGACGCATCCCCTCCCTTAACCCACCCCGTCTTGATCCCAGCTTGTTCTCATCCCTGACCCAACCCCATCCCCA